CCCCTCCCCCCTCCCCCCTTTCCTTTCTAACCCTCTCATAAAAACACGCTCGCAAACTCAGCCATCCATCCCCCAACACACAGTAGAACGAAAATCTGCATGAATTTGGCATCCTGTATACAACTTCGCAACAGTTGGTGACTACATCTTGACACAGCCTCGACACTCGAAGCGAACGTACAGCATGCACGGAGTAGCCCTATCCCCTCAGATGCGGTGTTCTTCCTGTTCCCTTTTCATTCTCCTTTGACCAGCATCGCACCCCATACAAGCAAAGCTTGACCTGCATTTTCTACAACTACATACAGTTCGCTCTGCGGGGAGCAAAATCGGTCCCCACCCAAACAAGCCATTCAACCTAATGTCAAATGCCCAGTTGCTTTTTCAGCCTTTTCGTTCATTCCTCTACCCTATAGCTGTCCTCTGTTGCAGAACTCCCTTCTTCCTGCCAACAGTTTACCATCCGTTTCACCACTGGCCATGTGACCCCCACCATCTTTTCCTCATCCAGCATGGCCCTCTCTCTCTCTCTCTCTCTCTCTCTCTCTCTCTCTCTCTCTCTCTCTCTCTCTCACACACACACACACACACACACACACACACACACACACACACACACACACACGTATGCGGTGCCTTGTATCGTTTGCTCACGTCCATTTCAACACCATCTATGTACATGCAAAACAGTGGGGCCTTGCTTAAGTTTGTTCTGTATCGGTACACCCTCTACGGTACCTTGCTAGTTTGTTATCGAGCTCTAGAATCCTGCTTGCCTTCTGCTAGCTCTCCGTCCAGTTGTATTTATTTTTCCTCCCTCCTTAACCCCGTTGATGTGGACACACCTGCTTCCCATCCTACAGGAGTTGGCACGGACGATAATACTTTCCCGCTGTGCTGGAAAACAAGTTCATCATCTACCTCTTCAGCAATTCGAGGACATCCCGTACACCCTGTTGTGCTCACAGACCAAAGCCTTCACCGCTGCTCACAAGCATTTGACGTGCTGCCCGTTCTTGACGGAGAACACTTCCCATGACCTGCCGCAAACAAACCTTTCCCTGGTATTCGCTGGCTGCCTCATTTCACATCACAAGCAACCACTACCTCCCGGGCAACCCGGTAGGCCATGACAAGGACGGACCTCAAGCCCGTTTGCAGGGAAGCCACCAGCACCGCCAACCAGCTCCCCTCTGTTCCCAACCTTCCTGCACCCCCTCGACCTCCTTCCAAAGTGGAACACACGGATTGTTCTTATGAACAGAAACGGACCGGAAACTAGTGCAGAACGATCAGACCTGGAAGCCATGTCACAGAACTCTTGTCCTATCCCCTTTCTGTTTACCTGTTCAATCTCCGAAGGTTTTCAAATCTGGGACCAGATCAGCCAATTGCTGTGCTCCTGAACCGGTGAAACAAACAAAAATAAATACATGCCCATTGCCACTACCAGAATCAGCAGTGGCGCCTACGAGCAAGAGGTGTAAAACAGTTTTAAAAACTTGATAGAATGAAAGAAACATATAACTTGTGCACCCACGCCTACCACCCTTTGCCCTGCCCTCTTCCTGGATGCCAGGCTGGGTCTGCATGGTGGGTGGCGAAACCATTAAGGGCGGCAACTCCAACAGCTTGCCTTGTATGCAAACGATGATGATGATGCTGGCTGCTGCTGTTCATAACACTGACGTTGATGATAATGAAGACGATAAATGTGACGAATGATGATGATATTGCACATACACATGGTAAATTTTGCTTCCAATCACCACTCCGACCTCGATTACGCGACCAGCTTCATTTCCTCCGGCAAAACATAAACATTCCTTCGGCTACAGCCGTGCAAGCTATGCTCCGATAGCTTTGAGCTGTACCTTCCTTCGCATCGACCTGGACACCGAAAAGATGATGAAGGAGATGTGGGATTGTTCTCCAATTGGTTTGGAATCCCATGCAGCAATGAGGGCCGCATGATAAGGCTAGATATTAGAATTTGATCATTCGACCACTTTCGTCTGCAGACATCGGAAAAATATGACGACTGTCACCTCCTACACCATCGAAGACGCATTCAAGCAGGTACACCTTTCTTTAGGTAACTGTTGAAGTATCCCCAAGTGGAATGATCTGACCAGAGTCGAGGACAACAAGAAGGGCCGATATTGTGGCTGAGAAGGATCTCTTCACTCTCAGACTCCCTCTACTACATGTAAGCAATCCTGGCCCATGCCTCTTCACATCAGCCTGCCTTCTTGCTGGGTGTAAAATGCAGGGAATGCCTGCCGGATGCTTCCTAACCGGCTGGAGTTGGTTTCATGTCGAGTCGCTGCGCACATTGCATTTGGCAGTTAGCAAGGATTGCAGACGGGCAGAAGCTAGTTACCGACACAGATAATTGAACTCCAACATCTGCAGGAGACCTGTTGGCTTGAGGTATTTCAGGAGTGTTCACAAAGGAAGATAACCCTGCCCCCCACCTCTTCCCCTCTTCAATGGGACCTTGACATATACAGCAAAACTCAGTTGCAAAGACGGTGGCAATCAGATGAAGAATTCGCTTGGTCGCCAGACCAAGATGCTTCCCTACATCAACTCCCACCCACCACTCATTCGTACAGAAGACGAGTCCCTTTGTTACCACAAACCATGACTCGACAAGCTCAAAATAGCTTGGAAGTATATAAAGCCTAAAATTCCCTAAGCCGTGAACGACAGAAAGGAGGAGAACGGGAACCAAGAACCAAGGGGGAGTGAGGGTGGCATTGGCCAGAACCGCAAAGCCATGGTCTCCTGTTATGATATGGCCATGCATGCTTCTCATATGAAAGCGGGTCCACCAACAGGAAAGTGAACCAACAACAAATTCAAAGAAACAAGATAGCAAAGAACGAACGAGCCATCCTCACACGACAACGCGATAAAAACTCTCACAGTCAGAACCATGCACCCATCCTTCCAACTCCGCAGCAGCAAACAATCGCAGCATCGGATAATGGGTGGGAGGCCTTTTGAGGGAGGTGGGCAGGGCAGCAGGGTAACATGGGCCCTGATTGTGTATGAAAACAGTACAGTGGCGCTTTTCGCGAGCTCAAACGTACCTTTTTGACTCCCACAGGGGTCCTTCCAATTCGCATAGAACATCAGAAATCACTCACTCTACAGAGATTTCCACGAGAACGGCAAGTTGGCCCCGAGGTTACCAAAGGAGTTGGAGTTCGATCCTGCACCAAGCGTGCGAAGGAGACCGGCTGCAGCAGATGCTCCTGGATCGTGATGTGCTTGTTGCACCTGGTCCTGTAGTTGCAGACCCTGCTGCACTGCAGCTACAGCTCCCAATCCCCCCAGACTCGCCAAGCTCCCCGCACCGCCTCCATTAGAAATTGCACTCAGGCTTCCAAAGTTTCCTAGGTTTGCGTCCAGAGCACTCACTCCGCCAAGCCCCATTGATCCTGCGACTCCCACACTGCCAGCCTGCAGTGAGTTGTTAGCCAGCTGCTGCGCAACCATCTGCTGAATAAGGTGCACTGCACTCTGCTGCTGTTGGTGTTGATGGAGACTTAGCTGCTGGTGTTGCTGCTGCTGCTGCTGGTGCTGGTGCTGGTGCTGGTGCTGTTGTTGCTGCTGCTGTTGCTGCTGCTGTTGCTGATGCTGCGAGGACCGGACTTGCTGAGCACCCTGAACATGATGATGAATAGCTGTCTGGGTGTTCAACGCCTGTTGGGACTGATGCTGCCCGTGATACCCAGCCACAGCCGGCTGTGTTCCTTGTGGGCTCAGGACAATCGAACCCATAGCTGCTGACTGATGTGCATGCAAAGGATTGGCCATTGATCCTACACCCAAGGCCGCAGAGACAGTAGAAAGCGGACTGTTCGATGACGTCCTCGCAGGAGTTGTTAGGGCAGCTGTTAGCGCATTAACCATCGAAGCCGAGAGCCCACCTCCCGGCATCGCCTGCAATGAATTGGGCAATGCTCCTACACCCTGCTGAAGGGAGTTGACTGACGAATTCATTGACGAGGTTGCCAATGACTGCACAACAGGATTCAACGTTCCGTTTCCGGCACTGCTGAGGGGACCGCCACCGTTGATCACACTCCCAGTAGTGCTGTTCAGGGTGATGCCAGCACCACGAGCGCTAGTGCTCAGCTGGCTGCTGATTTGCCCAGCCAGCTGGTTACTTATCTGACCATTAGCGAGCTGTTGTTGTTGCTGCTGCTGTTGCTGCTGCTGCTGCTGTTGTTGCTGCTGTTGTTGTTGCTGCTGCTGCTGCTGCTGATGTTGCTGCTGATGCTGATGCTGATGCTGATGCTGATGCTGTTGCTGCTGCTGTTGCTGACTGCTGCTCCTTGATGGCCCTCCTCCTCCCAACACACTACCTGCACCTCCTGCCAAGCTGCTACCATGGTCCCCAGGTCCTGCTAATGTCTGCAATATCTGTGCATCCTGGGAGGAGACAGTGGACATGCTGCTCCCAACGTTTTCCCGCCGAGGATAATTTTGCAAGCTTGCTGCATAAACAACATTCACCGGACCAACACCAGCATTCCATGTGTCCACGCACAAGAATCACATTGTAAGGTCATGGCTTAGTTAGCCACACTACTCCACAGTTTCTTTCCTACTTCTTTCTTAGTTTTCGGCATAGGTGCTCGGCAGCAAACTTCGTCATCTTGTTTTTCTTTCTTTCGTGTGTATTGGCCATTCCACCTTGCTTTCCCTCTACACCATACATGCAAGCGCACGTTGTGCGCCAAATCGCAGACTGTTGGCGCACACGCACAACCCTACCGCGCGGCGCACACCACAGGTTCACGGCGCTCCCCCCCCCCCCCCCCCAAAAAAAAAAAAAGGCAGATGTCTTTTTGTCTGTATCGCCCCCCCCCCAAGCAAAAATCGGTTCACAGCCTAAAAAAAAAATTAGCGGGCCGTGCTTGAAACGAATTTGAATTCGTTTCTGTGGTGCAATAGGGTGGGAAAAAAAGGAAGGGCTTCAGCAGGGGCCGTTTCTTTGATTTTGTTGTTGTTGCAGGCCCTCTGTAGTCCTCGGGTCGAGGAAGCAGCGCCGCCGTGATCCGTTGCCTTCGGCTTCTTCGTGAGCAGCGCCAACCTCCCCCTCCTCCGGACACCGTCGACGAGCTTCGGAGCTCTATGACCAGCACCGACTTCGATCGTCCTCTTCTGAGACAGGGTGGGTCTCCACCACTGGCAGCCTTCCTACTCTCCCTTGAACTCGAGTCCTCCACCTCCCCTCCCTCTCCTCATCCTCCTCTCCTTGTGCTCGTCCTCCATCTCTTCTCCTCCTCGTCGCGGTATCGTTCTTTTTTTTGTATGGGAACTCGGAACATCGGTGGTATGTCCTCGTGATCTCCTGCTCCTCGTCACGTCCTCCATATCTCATCCTCAACTCCACCAGTCCTCCTCATCCTCCTTGTCACGTCCTCCTCCTCATGGAAACTTCGATCTGCAAGAGTATCTCCTCGTCACCTGCTACCCCTCCTCGTCACCTCCTCCTCTCCTTCTCGTCACCTCCACCAGTCCTTTTCATGTCCTCCTCACCACCTCTTTTTATGTATATGGAAACTTGGAACAGTGATGGTCTCTCTCCACCAGTCCTGGCATACTCCATCTCTACTCCTCTTAACCTGCTCCTCGTCCTCTGTTTCTCCTCCTCATCCTGCACCTCTCCTCCTCCTCGTCCTCCTCAATCAATGCCGTCAAAGGTCTCGTCACCTTTTCTATGTATGAAGTTCGAGCTGCGACGATATCTCCTTGTTACGTCGTCATCCTCCTCCTCCATCTCTCCTCGTCCCCCTCCCCCATCACTCCTCGTCCATCTTCCCTCCTCCTCCCAATCTCTCCTCCTCCACCCTGTCTTGTTTTTTTTTTTCATGCAAACTCCGACATCCAAACCGTGATGGCATCTCCTCCTTGTCACATTCTCATGCTCTTCACCTCCTCCTCCTCCTCCTCCTCCATCTCTCCTCCTCCTTGTCACGGCCTCGTCACTTTGTTTTTATTTTGTGTCATGGAAACTTTTGAACTTCAATGGTATCTCCTCCTTGTCATGTCTTCGTCATCGCCCTCCTCCTCATTTCTCCTCTTCCTCGTCCATCTCTCCTCCCCCATCTCTCCGCCTTTATCTCATCTCCTCCCTGTCACGGGCTCGTCACTGTGTTTCTTTTTTAATGAAACTTTGAAGATTGAAACTCCGCTGGTATCTCCTCCTTGTTACGTCCTTTTCCTCCGATGGTATCTCCTCCTTGACGTCCTCCTCCTCGTCCATCTTTCTCCTCCAACTCTCCTCCTCCAGTTCGCACCCTCCTTGTCACGGCCTCATCGCTTTTTTTTCCCATGGAAACTTCGAACTTGGATGGTATCTCCTCCCCCTTGTAATGTTGTCTTGTTGCTCCTCCGGGATCTCTGAATTCTCCTTGGTATGGTACCACCGTGGAGTCATTTCCCCAGTTCCCACAATCTCGAATTTAATTGAATTGTCTCCTGAAGGTTTAGGTCCTTGTGCGAGTACCTTCTCAGGCAATCTAGTGCCGTGTGGATTCTCAAGTCTCGGGCTCACTATTGACATCGAGCACGAATTCAGGCGTAGCTTACTGTCCACATATACGCCCGCCGCCTGCTCCCCTCCATCTCTCTCCTCCATCTCCTCCATCTCTCCTCCCTCTCATCTCCTCCTTGTCATGGCCTTGTCACTTTGGTTTTCTTTTTCTTCATGGAAACTTCAAACTGCAATCGTGTCTCCTCCTCCTAGTGATGTCCTCCTTGTCCTCCTCGTCCTCCTCCACCTCTACTCCTCCATCTCTCCTCCTTTTCCTCCTCTTATCTCTCCTCCTCCATCTCTCCTCAAGTACTCCTCGTCATCCTCGATCTCTCATCTTCCTTGTCATGGGCTTCTCGCATTTTTTCCTTCATGGAGATTTGGAAAAGCATTTGTTTCTGTTTCTGACTGTGTAGCATCGTGTTTGCATTCGGTGACCGAACACGAACGCACGTCATTACCCTCCAGCGTGAACACAAAAAAAAAATTAATAGAAAAAAAAAACTGAAAAATCTGAAAAACATATATGTTATGTAGAATGATAATACAAACAACGTTTGCCTGGGAGGCATGTCCAAATTCGTAACCAAACTTGAGTTAAAAGTAAAAACCAGAATATATATTTTTTATCATTAAAAAAAAAATGTTCGACCGAACACATTCGGGAGACATTCAGCCAAACACCCGAACATGTTTGGACGTTCGGAAAAGCCCGACAACAGGTGTGGGGATAGAGGAAAGGTGATAGCTGCATCCACCTTGCAGTGCTTATGGAAAAAAGGACAAAAAAGATTCCGAACGAGAGATGACCGAACCAGACAGCGGGTGGCCCCGTGCAGTGCTATACGGGACGGGTGCGGGCCTGTACGGAGGTTGGGGACGTCCCGAACCGGACCCCATACGGTGCACCGGACAGTGCGGCACGCCCTGCGGTTGCAAGTATGCTCTACACCTGCCAATTCTTCCCTGCTTCAGTGCTTTTTGTGGCTGTTCATTTGGTTTCCTTTGTATACCTTTTCACAAGCGGTTAACAAAACGGAGACCCCCACTTTCAGCTCCTTGGTTAGCGTGTTAAAACTGAAATTAAGGTTTGGGGGTCAAATTTTAAGTTGTTCTTTTTTTTTGGGGGGGGGCTGTTTTTGTTTCGGTTCAAGGTTGATGTGTGCCAAATTTGGTCGCATTTGGAGCCCTGGAAATTTTTCCTTTTCCTTTGTCTGCTGCCGTTTTGTCTCTCGGCCTTCCAAACCCGCCACTCCCCCCACCGACACCAACAGCGACGGGAAACAGAGAGTACAAATATCGGCAGCAGAAGAAGACGACCACGGAGGAGGAGGAGGAGGAGGAGGAGGGAAGATCCGTTCAGTGCTGGGAGGAGGAAGAAGAAGAGGAGGAGGAGGAGGAGGAGGAGGAGGAGGAGGAAAAGGTAGGGAGCGAGAGAGGGAGGAGGAGGAGGAGGAAACCCAAGAGAGAGGACGATAGCCTTCACAGCCCACAACCTAAACGCAGCGGAACTGCAACACAACACAATCCGTCACGATGTGCAGGATACCGAGACCACAGCATGGGGGACACGACAGGCACAAGCATGTGCATTCCAATAGCAGCAGTAGCAGCAGCAAAAGAAGAAGAAGAAGAAGAACGCAACACGATCCGTCACCATGTGCAGCATACTGAGACCACAGCATGGGGGACACGACAGGCACAAGCGGGCATTAAAGCAGCGGAAGCAGAAGCAGAAGCAGCGCGCATTGCAGCAGCGGAAGCAGAAGCAGAAGAAGCAGCAGCAGCAGAAGCAGCAGCAGAAGAAGAAGCAGCAGAAGCACCAGCAGCGGCAGCAGCAGCAGCAGAAGACGAAGAAGAAAAAGAAGACGAAGACGAAGACGAAGACGAAGACGAAGACGAAGACGAAGACGAAGACGAAGACGAAGGAAGAAGGGAGGTGAAGGAGAAGAAAAAGCAGAAGCAGAAGAAGCAGCAGAAGCAGCTGCAGCAGCAGCAGCAGAAGAGGACGAGGACGAGGATGAAGACGAAACGAAGACGAAGACGAAGACAAAGACAAAGACAAAGAAAGAAGGGAGGAGAAGCAGGAGAAGCAGAAGCAGAAGCAGCAGCAGAGGAAGCAGAAGAAGCAGGACGAAGACGAAGAAAGAAGGGAGCAGCAGGAGAAGCAGGAGAAGCAGCAGCAGCAGCAGCAGCAGGAGACGCAGCAGAAGACGCAGCAGCAGCGGCAGCAGCAGGAGCAGGAGCAGGAGGAGAAGAGGAAGAGGAAGAGGAAGAGGAAGAAGAAGAGGAGGAAGAAGAAGAAAGGAGGAGGAGAGGAGGAGAGGAGGAGGAGGACAGGAGGACGACAGGAGGACGACAAAACAAATGAAGACTTTGAAAACGAAACAGACGAAAGGAGGAGGAGGAGGGAAGAACGAGGAGGAGGAGGAGGAGAAAAAGGATAAGACGAAAAGAGGAGAAGTGAAGGACAAGACGAAAGGAGGAGAGAAGAAGAAGAAGACGAGAGGAAGAGGGGGAGGAGGACCTGCCGGTAGTGTATGGGGATGACGGAAAAAAAAAAGAGGACGACGAAGGAGGGGGAGGAGGAGAAGACGAAAATAGGTGGAGGAGGAGGAGGAGAGGACAAGAAAAAGATGAGAGGAGGAGGAGGAGAAGGAGGAGAGGAGAAGGAGGAGGAGGAGAGGAGAAGAAAAAGATGAGAGGAGGAGGAGAAGAAAAAGATGAGAGGAGGAGGAGAAGAAAAAGATGAGAGGAGGAGGAGGACGAGGAGAGAAGGACAAGACAAAAGGAGGAGGAGGAGGAGAGAAGAAGAAGAAGAAGACGAGAGGAGGACCTGCCGGTAGTGTATGGAAACGACGGACAAAAAAAGGAAGGGAGATAGAGGAGGAGCAGGAGACGAAAGTCGGTAGAGGAGGAGAGGAGAAGAAAAAGATGAGAGGAGGAGGAGGAGGA